CTGGAAAAATAGCCAGTGCTCTTAACCGCTGAGCCATCTCTCCAGCCCCACACATTAGTACTTTTATGCTGGTTTTAGTTTGCCTGACTAAGATGAGGTTTTTATCTTCTGGGTCACTGACTGACGCTTCTCTCCGTATGTATGTGTGTTACCAGGTTACATAAGCCTGGACAACTGACTTTGTCCCTATGTTGTACTTTCTCTTGGGACTTTCTGCCTATGCATAAATTCTTGTGATGCTTTCACCCTTACAGTGCCTATGGAAACTGGTTTCCAGGCAGCAAGCCTCTTATACAGCAGGCTATGGCCAAGATCATGAAGGCAAATCCTGCCTTGTATGTATTACGTGAACGGATCCGCAAAGGACTGCAGTTGTATTCATCTGAGCCCACTGAGCCTTATCTGTCCTCTCAGAACTATGGTGAACTCTTCTCTAACCAGATTATCTGGTTTGTGGATGACACCAATGTCTATAGAGTGACCATCCACAAGGTGAGTGTGGCCATGCAGGCTTCAAATGCCTGTGCGAGTATGTGTACACATTGGATGAAGTCAGCGTAGTTATGTCTAGTCCATGCTAACTCATATAATTGTTCTTTAGACCTTTGAGGGGAACTTGACAACCAAACCCATCAACGGAGCCATCTTCATCTTTAACCCACGTACGGGGCAGCTTTTCCTCAAGATAATCCATACATCTGTGTGGGCTGGACAGAAGCGTTTGGGTCAGGTAAGTTGCTGAAATGATAGTGAGGTCATGGAACTTAGCTTTCTCTCATTCTTGGTAGGGGGAAGGGGGACATGATAAAAAGCCTATTTCTCTATTGAAAGATAGCATTGTTGGGTGTGGTGGCATATTTCTCAGTACTTAGGAGGCAGAGGGAAGAGGATTGCCATAGGTTTGAGGCCAGCCGGGGCTGCACACAGTCAAGAGGTGAAGACATTGTTTTGTTGACATTTAAGTGGGTGCTGGGAATCCAGACACTTGCCTGGCAAGCACTCGACTCAGTGAGTCAGCTCTCCACTCCCAGAGAGTATTCCCTTGGAGGAGGTCCAAGCACGTGAAGGCCTTCATTACCTCCACATTGGGCTTTCTGTTTCCTATGCCTCTCCCTCTGTCCTCTGTCTGAGAGAGCAACCAAACATCATCTTTTTAAAGGGAATGCATACCCTTTAGCTTCCTGAACATTTGTTGCCTGACTGGGCTGTAGCCAGCCGTGATTTTCTTTTCTATGTTTATAGTACATAAGCATAATAATTGCAAGTTCTCCTTGCAATTATTCCAAGATCCTACTACCTCCAAATCCCAGTGCCCATCTCATGTCCAGGGCTTTGTCCATATTTTTCTTTCTAAAATGAGCTCTCATTACTTTTTTTTT